GGGGGGGGGTCCAGTTGCCGGCGCCCCCCGTCGTTCTTTTTGAGGTTGGGCGGGAGGACAGATAGCCTCTAGCGTTGCGTAGCTTGTGGAGTGGACGGCTAGCGAAGATTGGGGGCGTGGGCGGAGGAGGCCACTCGCGCGTTTGAGGCCGGACGGGGGTGGAGGGGCCCGAAGGCTATCTCCGCAAGAGCTTTGGGCAGGATTATCTTAACACCAACGGGCAGGATGGGGTGTCCGAGATCCTTAGGGGTTTTGGTCTGAAACGAAAACCTCGGGAAAGCAGGGAACACTTACAGGGGAGGATGATCATGAAGGCATCCCGAAAGGCTGGGTTAGATTAATGTGTGGGCCGAGGGAAGCCACGGTCGACTCCAGGTCACCGTGACTGGAGAGGCGTTTATTCGGCGGGGGGGCCCTCGAGGGAGCAGGACAACTTCGGCTTTGCTAGCAAATGATGCAGAGGAAGTTCGGGCGGACCGGTGGTCCCGCATTGAGGGCAGGGGGGAGGAAGGGTCACCCTTCACCCCCCTGGGCGCGGAAAGGGACTGAATGGAGGGCGGAGCGTAGGCGTGCTTTTAGGCTACGAGGATACAGGCCGAAGCCAAGAGTGACATTAGAGGGGAGTTGGCTTGGTCTCATGAGAGTACCGTCGGAATTGGAGTCGAGCGTACGATTAGGGGGTTGGGGGGGGGGAGTGCCAGGCTTTTCACAAGCGCGTGGCGCGGTGCGATGCTGACATCAAAACGGGGAACAGAGATTCGGATTCGGGTGTATGTATGATGGGTGTGGGGGCTAATTTATTTTGTCGATGTGTTGTTGCACCTCGAGCGTTGGCCTTTTTGTTTTTTCTATTCGTTCTTGTTTTCGCTTGTTTCTTCTGTTTCTGCATCTATGTAGTCTGGTTCCACACAGCAAGTCGGTACGAAGGTACTGCTAGCAGGGCGGAGGTTTGGCATGGAAGTTTGCTTCACCGTCCGGTGCTTCAAAATGAAAAAGGCTTTCGGGTCACCGAAAAGTGGCGTTCAACAGTGTTGCTGCGGACCAGGCGGGGAAAATCAAAATTATTGTTCGTGTTTGGACGGCACGTCTGAGCACGGACAGACCAAAGCCTCCTATAGCGCCAGCTTTGTTCAACACATGTCCTGAAGTCCTGGAAACACGCTTTTTAAGGAACACGGCAAATGTTTATGGCGAGGGATGATTGGAATGGCAGTGGCTGGTAGTTGGCGAGGTGGGAGCGAGTGGAGTGACGTGAAGGAGAGCCCCTCGCCGCCGCCGCCGCCGCCCCGCCCTAATTCCCATCTGCGCTGCCTCTACGGCTGGCGAACCTCTGTGGAACCGCTTGTGTTGTTTTGGGTTAGTTCGACCACAAGCCTCGATTCTTGTAGCTAGAGTAGTACGGGAGGCAGGCAAATAAGTGGGGGAACTGTTGATCATTTTCTGTGATGATTCGTCGGCGTGCCGTTTCGGCAAGCGTTTCGTCGCGAACAGTGTGCGTCGATTGGACCGTTTTTTCCGTTTTTTTTTGGGGGGGGGGTGGATCTACCTCTTTAGCACGGCGGCCCCTCGTGGGGAGTCTTCGTAATTGGACGAAATCTTGGCGCGCGCCATTGCGGTGGATGATAGAGAATTTAGATGTTTGGCTTTTCCTCACCTTGTTATCATACAGACGCTAGCTGTTTTGCTGCTTTGCCGTGTCTTCGCGGGCACTGACTTCGCCGTCCATGTCGAAGACAGAGCGCTGAGCGAGCGAAAGTTTTCTGATTGGTAGCTTGCTTTGCTTGCTGCTGGCGCCCGAGGGCTCCGCGCCAGAACTCCGGCATTGAATTCAATTATTAAAAAATGGCACATGCATTTCGGCCAATCAGAAATCGGCGGCATCATTGTTGGCCAACAGGATAAACCGCGAGCATCTGATGACTTTGTCGCGCAAGAAGCGCTGTTTTGATTCTTTTGTTTGTGCGTTGTGTGTGTTTTTCACGATTATTTTTCGTTGAGTCCTTTCTTGTTTCGTTCACACGGATAATTAAAAAACAGAAAGCAGCAGTACGCCCAGACGGGGGGGGGTGGTTTCACGTGACACCTCCATGCTGCGGAGGTTGAATTTACTTGCCGATTTGTCGTCCCTTCGGCGTAGTAGTAGTGGAGGCTAGAAAGCCGTTTGATAGCTTGTGGCAATGAGTGTCGCTCGAGCACGCGCGTGCAGTAAGCCGGGTGGACAATAGAATACGGACAGATTCTTGACCAAAAACAACAATTGTCACCAGTCTTGGCGGCGCTGCAGTATTTTTAGGACGAGATTTCTCGTTATCCCGCAGCAGGCGGGCTCGATTTTCCTTCCCCCCCTGTGTGCGAGGCCATTTGTCTAACGACAAGGGCAGGTACGACTATGGGTGGTATCCGCCACCCTCAGTGTGGGCACTGAATAACTGCCCAACCACAACCACCACGGCGTCTAGCCTCCCTCGTACACGGCAATAGGGAAAGTGCTCGCGGCTAACGTATGCCCGTTTGCAACGTGCACGCAACATGGCGCATTGCGCGTCACTACTACCATGGTTTTGTCGTTCCGAGGCCCCACGAAACATCTAAGCGAACACCGACACACACCACCATAATAAATTCCATCCTTCCGGGAACACAGCGGAGGACAGCAGATCTCCAACCGATGGATTCACCCGGAGAAAAACACATACATGTGGAAGCTACTTTGAGTGAAAACGTCGTTCGACGCTTTTGTTTCGAAAAAAAAACAAAAAACAAGATAAACTTCTTGTAGATTACATGGAGGCCTGAAGGGTGGTGACTCGGGGAGGGCGCGCGTTCTCGCAGACAAAGAACGCCAAGAACCCATGTTTCTTAGGCCGTCGGATGGTTGACTATGCAGACTTCGGGGTTCTTCCCTACGTGAACCACGCTGAAAACGAAATCGACCTGCGTATGTATGCATATTGAACGACAATCAACCCCGGCGAGAAAGCACACTGACCGACCGTGGAAGATGAAGTCACCACAATCAACCAAGGACAACGAAGAAGAAGCAGGCCCATGCTGTGAGAATGGGCATGACAACAATTTGGTTCAATGGACCACCAGGCGTTTTCAAGGAAAGGTTGATGCATGCCCACTCCATACAAAGCTTTGAACGTACATTCTACACATATCTCACCGACACCAAGGTTCTCCACCAACACACTCAATGGTATACTAGCAACCCCGGGACCAACCTCGAGAAGACCCCCGTGGTATATTTCTGCAGATAGATCGAGGTTTACCTAGTCAAGGCAAAAGTGATGACAATGAATACCCAATACATGTGACCGCAAACGACACAGAGGATGAGTCTTGCAATACCCACCTCGGTCCAACAGGGGACAGCAGATAGATGTAATGCAGGCACCGCACAGCAGTCAGGTACACATGCAGGCACCGCACTGCAGCAGTTCAAACCGATCATGTTTATAGGGAACATTGGCGTTTTGGCACTGATAAGTCATCCGTAGCTGCTACGTGATCTACCCCTAGGGTCAATAGGTTCATCCATATTGTTGCCGAATGAATCCCAGCTCGATTCTCTCCGCAAGGATTGAGAATTATAATTCTTGCTTTTTTTTTTATCGCGAACTTCGCAGTCTTTCGACTTGACGTCATCTTGGCCCAAAGAATGCCAACAGCGCGTTTTATACTTGTACAGGAACACAAAGTTTCAACCAAGGACGGGCGGACACGTTTATTTGCGCAACGTGGTGCATGAACGAATGCACACACCCCGCAACAGGATTCCCTGCCAAACTGCTACATTTGCTATTTAGCGTCAACTTCTGGTCCTCCGTGCAGCTGTTGCCGGCATACTCTATTGTTGCTCTTGCTTCACACAGGAATGCACCCATCCAATCAATGCTCCTAGGACGCCACCGTCTGTCGTCGATCACGTGTTATGCGTAGAATAGTAATGCCCAGAAATGCCATCATAGTAGTATTCACACAAGGCAACAATGTTCGGCAGCAACAGTCTCAGAAATCAATCCACTACAACTGTAGTGTTTACACAACAATGCCGCGCAGCGTAGTAGTCTGTTGTGAACAAGCCGTTCTTCATACTTCGAGCCCGAGCAATTTGAACACAATTTTTTGCCGTTGAGCCCCCCTCCTTGCCATGCTTTACAGGTCCATACAACAAGAACGTAAAAGGTCACGGGTCGACAGTTCGTCCGAGATGGTTCGTTCCCTACCGTGCGAGCGCGCGGAGAGATACCACCCCCGCTAGACCGACTGTAAAAGCTCGATTGCTTCACAAACAAGGGGGCTCGGAGAGAGCCCGATACATACGTCGACGCAAAGGCCTCGACAAGAGAGCTGTTCCGAAAACGAACATTCTTGGTGTTGGCACAATAGAACAAGAGCTTTTGGTTGTGGAGCGATCGCGCTTTGAAACAAACTCTTTCCACAAGGGGGTTCCATCTCTCCGCCTCTAACGATGCTACCGACTTGCTCGGTAGAAGTACCACACCTGGGGGCCGGAATGTCACTGTCACCATCGTCGCCGCGGCGCCACCTACTACTATCAATACTAGCAGGACTGTTGCTGCTGTGTTGAGGGGCGTCGTTTCGAGGAGTAGCCGCTCCGAACAGCGCTGCCGTTCTCTCGCCGGTGGCGACGTGGTGGTGGGAATCCCGCGTCCCGCGGGAAGTTGACCAGGAAACCGTGGCTGATGCCGGAAATATCCAGGTAGTGCTTGATTTGGCTAGTGTACGAGCATTCGCTACTACAGCGACCACTATTATGGTGGTAGTTCCTGTAGCGTCTCCCGTATTTCTACTTCCTCTTTTTGTGCTACCACCGCTGCTGCTGCTGCTGCTGCTGCTGCTGCTGCTAGCGCCCTCGCCTCTGTAGCCGGCTTCGGCCGTGATGATCGTCTTGACGGCCTTGACTTCTATGACCGCCATCGACCTGTCCGCTACGCGCAGCAGAAGGTCCAGCCTCCTCCAGTCGACGTACTCCCCCCTGTACTGCGCGGTCGGAATCTCCGCCTCGGCCTCCACGGTGACCCCCCGTCTCACGAGCTCCATGCAGAGGGCCAGCTGGTAGGCTCTCTCCGTCTGATGCTGCCCCACCAAGCGCCACACCGCCCCGCACAGCTGTCCCAGCTCTTGCTTGAGCTCGGCCACAGTGCGTACCCCGCCACCAGCCTTCGTGTGTGGATCGCTTCGCGTGGCGACGCCTCCTAGCGGGGGTCCCAGGCATGGCTCGAGAACGCCGCCCCTCTTGTCCTGGTTGGGCGCGTGCTGCTCATTGCTACCACGCACGATGTGGTCGCTGCCCGCATCAAGCACTGAGAGCTCTTCTTGCTCCAGTAGCTCGTCGCCCATTGCATCTACCACGTCATGAGGCCGGTGAGGCCGTTTGCCGCTGCTTGGATCCAGAATCGAGAGCGTTTCTTGCTCTAGCTCGGTGCGCTTGGCATCTACCTCCTTCCCTCCGGGGCGCGCGGTTGCTGCGAGTCTCGCTACGGTCCGCACGGGAGCGGGAGGAGGCCCGCGACCGGTCTTCGCGTTTCCGCTTCGATATTCTTGGCGCGAAGCGCGCTCGGGGGTGACAACGCTGTACCGCTGCTGTTCAGAAAAGCGACGTTTCGCCGCTCTACCTGCGCCACCTCCATCATCATCATCATCATCATCATCCAGCTGTTGTTCGTTTTCGTCCCCCGCCTCTCCTTGCGACTGCGAGGGACCGACCCTGCTCACGCGCGTGGCTTCCTCGTTGGGATACGAGCTTGTCCGCCTGGTCGCAGAAATGCATCGCTCCCGCGTCGTCTCCGGCGCTCGAGCACGCCTCCGCTGCCGCCACGAACATGTCGAGGTCTGGCACAAGGCCGGCTTCGGCTACAGCCTTCATTATCTGCGTCATCATCGGTACACACAGGCAAGGGTAACTCGGTAAACATACGCTCAAGTATCAAGAGCAACATTCTGGAAGCGCTGAAATATCCTACCTGATGAATCCTGCATGCTGTCGAAGGAAACGGAATCCCACGAGCGAAGGAAAGATCAGTTCGCCCCGCGAGTGCATGACCCACCTCTATGGTGAAAAGCCGCCGGCTTGAGCGGTCTTTGGCGCTGCAGCATAGTAGCACGCTCTGGAACGCAGGACAGGCAGTTTATGGCGCGTAGAAGGAATGAAAGGATAACGCAACAGCGGCGAAAGGAACCGGCAACTCGTTAACGTGCTGACAGTCACGATGATGATCGCTGATGACGTACGTGTACGCGGTAGAAAAGAGTCTAGCACATTAACACCGTTTTTGTCACAATCAAATATTGTTTGCGTTTTCTTCCTTGAAATTGAAACAGTTCCGGCTCGGACTTACCCCCGCTTCGCCGACATACCCAACACTGCTCAGCAGGCGGTATCTTCTAGCTTTGTACGAAGTAGTACTACAAGTAGTCTACAATGTATGTAGACTATTGTGGCACTCAGTTCGCTGATTGGTCAACGCACCTGTGGCGGAATTTAAAAAAATGTACGAAGTACAAAAAAACAGGGAACGGCCCAAGATCCTTGGTCGACGGGTGGGGTCGTCCATGGTGGAATCGAGGACGGCACCCTGGGATATCTTGGGAAAATCGTGTCTTCTGATGACCTGGTGTCGTCTTGGCTGACTAACAACGGGGAGGAGTAGACGGATCCGCCGACCGCCGACCGATCAGCTTGTTGTCTTGTTTGGGGATGCATGATGGATCTTTCTGATCTTCTACTAAATGAAACAATCGATCAACTTGGTGGAGTACCTTGACCAAGCATTAATTGAACCAACCCAACCGTGGTCTCAACCGCGCACCAACCTTGTATGCCATCAACGTTGGTTGAATCCCCGCGGAGTTCGCCAGGCCCGGCACCCCCAAGGCAATTGCGGAGTAGACAGAGTTCGAGGGCCAGGTCAAGCGCATCGCGGTGGAGTGTGGTCTCTCCAGAGAGTGTTTCCAGTAGAGCCGTCATCACCGCACGTGATCGTTGTTGTCTTGTGTTCCTTGCTCCTCCTGCTCCTGTTCCTCCTCCTCCTGCTCCTCCTCGACCTCCTCCTCCTCCTCCCACTCGTCCTCTTCCTCGCCATCCTCCTCCTCCTCCTCCTCCTCCTCCTGCTCCTGCCCGTCCTGCTCCTGCTCCTGCTCCTCCTGCTCCTGCTCCTCCTCCCCCTGCTCCTTCTCGACCTCCTCCTCCTCCTCCCACTCCTCCTCTTCCTTGCCATCTTCCTCCTCCTCCTCCTCCTTCTCCTCCTCCTGCTCCTGCTCCTGCTCCTCCTGCTCCTGCTCCTCCTGCTCCTCCTCCTCCTCCTCTTCCCTTCGGTCGTCTTGCACCTCCGCCTGCTTCTTTGTTTTCTCCTTCTCACCCTCTCGCAGTCTCTCTTCTACGTTCTGCTCCTGCCCCCCCTGTATTTTACCCCACTGCCCCCCTCTGTGATTTTCGTCTTGGGACACAGCAGTTGCACCTCATTCGTGCCGCCTCAAACGGCTTCAGCGCGGGTGATGGAGCGTTCTTCTCTGGCATGGGAGGTTGATCGTCAGCAGCTGCACCGTCAACATCTGCAGCCGGTGGATGTTGAGCTGGTAAGCTAACATCAGCAACGGGGCCAGGCGTAGCAGCAGCAGTGGCAGGTCGGCGGTCACTCCTCTGACGCCGTTCTTCGCGAACTGGTTAGCGGTAAACGTCAAGCGCACTCATGCGTGCAGATGGAAGAGGAGTTGGGTGCACAACTGCAGTAGTCTCGTTCACGTCGTCGGTGAGGGGACCGGACCGAGCTGCTCTGGAGTGACCACTGGCACGCAGCCTTGAGGATCCCCAGCCCGGTGACCACGTTCCCGCTGCTCGCGCCTCCTCTCGCGGACTGCCGTGCGCGCGACCTCAGACACACCACGTGCTACAGCTGACGGAGCCAGATCTCCGATGACATCGTCTCGGACCGCACCTTCCGAAGGAGTGCCGTGCGAAGCGTTGAACAACGCCTCGTTCGCCAATCCAACTTCAGGGCAGCCGCTGGCATCACGACCAACTCCAGCAGAAGCGTCACCTGCAGGATCCATCCCGCATCCATCTGTTGGCGCTGTCGAACAACTCGGTGTGTTTTCAAGCGGGCGCGGCAGAGACTACTGCGGAGTATAGGCGCCGTTGGAGGTACTCGTTGGGCAATGGGCAACGTATAACCTCCTCAGCCTATCACGCTAGAGTTCGTGACAGCATAGCTGCCAAGAAACACCGCGAGCACCGCCCGCGGCATACAAGCTATGCGCGTGTGTCAGCGCGGCCTCCGCGTAGCTACATACCTCCGCGCATTATGCTTTTCACCCACACTGCTCACGGGACTGTCGGGATGGCGCGTTTTTTTTATTTCCGCCGCCTCTCCCTCACTCGCACCCAAATTCCCACCTCCTCTTGCGCGCACTTTCTTTGCGTAGCTTGCTGAAGGAGACTTTATCTTGCATCCTCTGGAGAAGCCGCCAAGATGTGTGTCTTCTGAGTGCTCTCTGCTCTCGAGTGGTTTCACTGTTTCACTGATCAAGTTGAATGTCCCGCGAATAGAACGCTGGCTCCTTTTCTGGATCTCCCAGTCTCCCATGCGACCATCGATCCACCGATCCAACAATCCAACGATACTACCTACTCCGGGTGCGTGTCCAGACCAACCCGTTTGTGAGGATTAGGATTCAGATCCGATCCACATACTACACAGATATTCGCCCCAGTATGGGACGCAAACAAACGCGAGCTTATGGTGTTCTCGCGGTCGCCGTCGCTATCATGAACTTTGAAAAGTAACAACATTTTTCTTCACATAGAAACGCTACCCAGCAGGGTTTGAGAGTTACACGAAAGATACCCTCATGTACGGAATCCGTTTCCCTGTTGTCAAACCGTTGACTGCCGGCGTACGCTGCCACGTGTTTTGTACCCCTTATGGTGAGTACAAAGTACCGCCGTTCTCAACGTTGTCCTTTGTTGTTATTGCATGTAGTCTTTGCGTGGACAACAGACGGAATTGAAATAGCAGTAGAACTACAGGCCAGCACTCTTGGCGTACCTCGCTCCCTCCAGCACCATGCAGCAAACCGTCCTGCTTGGCATCACAGCGTTCCTACTGGGAGGCGGCGGTGCCGTGGAAATGCATGACTGTATTCGCTGTGGCATGTTCTCTGGGCATATGACACCTTCCCCGAACACAAGACCTCCGCCTCTTGTCGGTTCTTGACGGCCATTCCCAAAGGGCCGTGGGTTGCCTAATTTCCTCCTTCACATGGATCAGTAGTCTTTGTTTCACACAGCCTTCGTGTCAGCACTACATCTTCTGCTGTTTCTTTCCGTGTTCCCCTTCTTTTGGTACGTGCCGCAAGATGGGTGTACAAGGGGCCAAGTCATTGTTTACGTTCCCCTGGACTTGATTAGGCACACAGCAACAAGGGGTGGCTCATAGCCCACTGCGTGTCCAAGTGCGCGAAGCAGGTTGGCTTAGGGTTTTGGAGAGCACCCGAGGGATCCACACACATGCCGTATGTTCTCATTTCCCCAACCCTACAATCACCGCCGAGTGCTCGTGGAGAGAGCAAACGGGCGAGAGAACGAACAGAAAGATCAAAGAAAGATATGTCGACAACGACATGCACTACAGGCTGGTCCACCTGTGGTGCGGCAAGGGTGGTTCTCTTGGTTACATCAGGCAAGCCGCACAACTTGAACCAATTGCTGGTATGCACGTCGAGCGCCTTCACGTTCAATCACATACTTCCTAGGGCAAAACAACAACGCATAAGGTCTCTTCGTCACATCCAGATTCTACGGCACTGAAGAACTAACACATTCTCGTAGCGCACCTCAAGGGTTGAGCCGAGTTTACATCTTCCGAGTATACACCTTCCTTAAAATGTGCAGAGCGTACACCTTTGCTACCGCCATCACATCTGCTGCTATTACCCGTCACCATGATCACGTTAACCATGCACCGCCTCGGGGGTGTGGGGAGGCCACGTGAGCTCTCCATGGGCAACGGCATGACAACGTTTTTCGTACGGCAGATCTAGGTCCACCTGCGATATCTAAGTAGTAGGGTGCAAAGGGCAATTCAAGCCGACTTGCTCTTCTCTGCTACATCCCTACTACCTTATTAAGAGACAGAACGTGCAAAAAGTGCGCTACATAAACTATGTGTGCTTTACATGTACATCCTAGCGGGATTTTAAGCCAAACAACGAGGTGAGGCGTGTCGCCAAACCTGCCTACCTCATGCAGGTTGTTCATCTATTTGGAATACGCATCATTCACGCCCAAGCAACGCCGTGATCTGACAATATTCCTACGCAAGCTTCACTGCCGAGATGAAGCCACCATGTCGCATCGAAGCTATTTGACGTGACCCCCACACTACTGCACAAGCTTCAGGGCGGCGATGAAGACGGTGAGAAGGATGCTCACTGGCACGATGGATATGAGGTAGAGGGTGCAAAGGGTCCTCGCTTTCCTCCCAGCTGCTTCTTGCAACCCGGCCACCTGCCAAGCACATACAGGACGAACACAAACACGGTTGAATATGGCAAATGAAACCAACAGCGCTTCGTTTGGCCCCACGCAACATCGGGGAAATGAGTGGACCACAGCGCGAGTTGCTGGATACTAGAAGGCGTCAGCAGCCCGGCTACACAGATGGCGCGTTCTGCTTTTCTCCGGGGAAGAAGAGCAGTATGGACAAACTTGAGGCACCCCCGGGAAGGAAGGACAATGGAGACAACGAGCCGATTAGACGGAGGTCGTGGGTCCATCGTGCTTCAAGCAACAGCACAGAAGGTGACGCAGCAGGCGCGTGCTTTTTTTTAGTGATACTAGAGTTAGTACTTCTTAGCCAAGCAACGAGCATATGATTCATCATTAAATATTCGCATATTCCATCATGTCAGTGATGCTGCAGAGTGCCGAGAAGAGGGTACGCTATACGTTCGGGTGCAACACTAGTGTGTCAAATTAAGCACGTGGATACACCCGCTCACACAGCTGAAGACGAGAGACATGAGCCAGACACGACACAGTTTTAGCGGGAAATACACTGCACAGCAGCAGCAGTCTCGCACACAACAATACGTAGATGAGGGCCGAGACTCGCACCTGGAGCATGATGACGGTGTTCTGCGCCGAAGGCATGCATGACTCGATCAGCAGCACGAAGAGCAGCATCGGGTCTGGAGGGACTAGTCCATACTTGACCCCACCGAAAAGCAGCCCTGCCGGGAAGGCAAAAAAACGAAGACACCAGGAAGAGAGTGACAGCGGTCATAGCGTCGACTGGGTTACAGTACACGCAAAACCAAAAACAGATGATGTACGTCTCTGTGAAGCAGGGTTGTCTTGAGACTGACACATCTGCACCAAGCTGTCGATAACACAGGCACTGTGACAACCGTACACTAACGGCCCGCTATTAAGCAACACAACTTTCCGTTGTCGTCCACGTGGAGGACAGGTGCATAAGTGCTGTAACCATTGTTGCACATACAACAATATTAGGACCAAGATACGATCCGAACGGGGGATCATACTGGTGGTTGATCCGCAAGAAACCCGACTATGGAAGCATCCCTCTTGGCGCCACCTGCGGAGCTGGGGAATCCGAGGCCCTCGGCCTTGATCTCCCTCGCCCCTCCGGCGGCCCTCTCTTTTCTCCCTCTTTTCCGATACCTTCTCCTTGCCAAATCTCAACAAATGAAATTGCCAGCCCTTACTAGTGGGTAAATACAACCGCGAGACCTGGGCCTCCCCCCAACGAGGGTGGCCTGTGTCCTTATCGATGCCCAGTTCCTTATTTCGTCGCCACCATCGAGGACACCGTGGGTAACGCAAGATATCACCACCCCTGAAACCGGTTGTCAAATCAGTATGAGATATCGACAGGACAGTCAGGCCGCGCGCGCTGCACCCTGCCCCACACCCCCGACCCGTAGTCAGAAAGAAAATACGAGAAGCAGCTCGACATAGCACACGTGCTTGTTAAGGGTCATTGCTGGCACGTTCTACAACATGGCTAACCTTCCGCAACCTATCTTACGCGATTCCAACGGCATTGTTGTTGGCTTCTTAATTCGCGATGCGTGGCGTGCCTAGTGTACGAAGTTACCCCGTGCTGGAGCAACATGCTGCTGAACGTGCTTATGCGATCGGACCTCGATTGAAAGGTTTTCCGAGGCAACAACCTGAAATACTCCAAGCCACGTACACAGGGAGGTTTCGCGCGCACGGTGATGTTCCTCGTCTCAAAAGTCCAGAGGTCTGCAACGGGGAAAGGGTAACCATTGTTACCTGACGTCGCGAGCGGCAACAAGAACCACCTAGCCATGCCGACCGCCAAGATGGTTTTCTGGGTGTCTCGAGAGAACCATTTTCCGGGGGGACAGTTCGCCAAGCTCCCGGCCAGAACAAGAACGCCTGATGGAGTATACGCCGCCGTCTGATACGACGTGTTCGCGCGGAGTGGAAGACATCGTGGGAGAGAGGAAGAAGCAGGGTGGGCAGGGGTTAGAGGACCCATGTCTGTCACACCCATCAACAGCAGTATCCACAGCAGGAACGAAGTGATGGACTGTTTCCCTGGACCATGGTACATACTGTCCTTCAGCTTGGGGGGAAACAAGCATAGGTCAAGAGGAATTTCCGGGGGAACAAACAAAAACTTGACCTCCGTTCGCGTCTCCTCTGTCGAAAAACTACTCAAACCGAGCATTCACATGAAAATTTCGGCGATGGATGATTCTCGATACAGCACGATGCAGACTTCCCCCCCACCCCTCGACTTGGCCTCCAACGTAGTCTGAGCGAAAAGATCACACAAAGCAAAACTCAAAAACAGTTTAATTGAAAACTCGAAACAAGAAACAAGCACAAAGTGCCTGTTGATGCTAAGGACATGGCAAGCGTGCGTGCTCCTGCACTCATAGAAACGAGAAGGGCATGAGTTCCTAAGCTGAAATGGGAAAAGGACGGCTGCGGTCGTACGTGCACGGATGTTATCGTCAAACGTGTAACACAGACGACGACAGCATCGGATACATTAGGTGACCATATGCTTCGCGTTACTATGAGCGCAGGAGCACGCACGTTCGCCGTGTCCTTGGCATCAATTGCCACTTTTTCCTTGTTGCTAGTTCGGCTTTACAATTAAACTGTTCCGAGTTTTGCTTTGCGTGGTATTTCCCATCGATCTTGTGGCGAGTCGAATCCAATCGAATCTCCGAACAAAATCAACATCCATGCACGTTTTTTTGTTCCTCGAGTATACCCTCGAGCTCGGTTGCATTTTCATTCCATCTCATCAAGGCCTTGCTATAATACATGTAGAGGTCAATAGGGGTTGCTAAACAGGGTCATGAGGGTTTTTCGGCCTAAATATCTCACCAGGTTGCTGAAGGCAGACCACATCGGGCCCAGCGGAGCCCCCTCCCTCATGAGCAGCCAACGAAGGGGAGGGGACAGGCCTATCACAAGCCCCATCATGCAGGCCACTATTGGCGGGCTTAAGACTCTTCGGACGGTGGGGCTCTCAGCGATGCTGGTTTTGGTTAAAGGGAGCAGGCGTGCGTGCAGAGGGGGGGGGGGGGGGGGGGGGGGGG